TTCACACTACCAAGCAGACTCTCAGCTCTGCCCATCTCACCCCACTGCTCCTCGGGTGCCATGCTGTGCCAGGCCTTGCCTGAAGCAATAAGAGACAGAGGGAGGAGTCCTACTTCTAGAGCAGGAAAAGGAGCTGGGACCCCAGCTGCCCACCACAGCCTCTGGAGGCCATGCTGTGCTCCCCCTGCCTGCAAGGAAAATGGCTGGCTCCCCGTGGAGCACCAGGCATGTCTTCAAGGAGCAGAACCCAGAAGGTTCCTGAGTCAGCTTTTTCCCTGTGACCCTGTGCTTACTGTTCCCAGACCAGCCCCCTCACCCCAGTTATCCACATGAGAAAGAGTGATCTGCCTAAATTCCAAGCTGGGTCATCTTCTTCCCCGCCTGGACAGTGCCAGCAGGCTTCCTGCCACTCTTGGTATGGTCCCTCAGCACAGTCCAGGCTCCCCCAAGGCCAGGTTTCCATCCCCTACCTCGCTGCCTTCCACTGTGCCCGAGCTTTGCTCTCAGCTCTCTGAGGGTGCAAGCCCCCCCATTCTGACCCTTTGCACGTGCTGTTCCCTCTGCCTCAATTACTGTTCCACCTCTCAACTGTGCCGACCTTGTCTTAAGAGCAGTTTAGCCCCTCTTCTGGCCTGTGACTCTAGCTGCAATCCTTCGCCCTTGTCACCCTGCCCTGTCACTGTGGTGGCTCTACTGGCATGAGAAGAGTGGCCACCCCCAGTGATGAAAGGGAAAGGAGCAGGCCCTGTGTCTGGCCATCCTCGGGGGGCAGGAAGCAGCCTCAGAACAAAGTCTGTTTGATCATAGCCTCTTCATCGAGAAAAGTGGGATACAGACGTTGCCTGCAGCCTATACTCCTAACGAAAGCAAATCCCACTTTCCCAGCTCACTCCATCTCCAACCTGCTGGCTGTGATGGGAACTTTGCCCTCTGAGCTACAGGGCAGCTGTGCCCAAGGAGGAGGCAGCATGCTTTCATTTCAAATGTGACTGGCTAGATGGGCTAGCCATGGGATGGAGCCCACCCCACCTCAGTTTTCACAGCACACACCAGGCATATGATTAATACCATGCACATAAGATTCTATCCCTGAGAGCTAGAGGTTGAAGCGAAACAGGTGGGCTAATTGCTAATACAGGAATTAATATCAGCAAGCATAGGTCTGGAAGGCAGCATGAACAGAAAAGCTAAAGACCTATCAAATTCGGCAGCAAGCCCTGAAGGACAGAAGTGGACTGCATAGGGTAGGGCTTCCTCAGGAAGCAACTCTCCCCCAAACTCATCCCTTCCCCCTAAACGGTGCCTGGTGTGCATCTCATGCACACTGTAGTATCTGCTAGCCACTGGCTTCCCCACAGGGCTGAGACCTCCTGAAGAGCTGGCTCCTCTAGTCCCCATTGGTATGGTACCTAGAGCATTACTGGACTGAGTTTGCTAGGTGAGGTGGCTGGATAGTTGAATAGGTTAGAGGGATAGATGGTCAGAGAGGTGGATGGAAGAAAAGTGATTGGTTAAATGGATGAATGAATCCTGGGTGGGTAGGTGGGTAGACAAGATGGAGGAGAAATGGTTGGCGGATTGAATGGATAGATGGATGGGAAGGAGATGGACAGAGGAATGGAGAGAGAAAATGGAGAGGTAGAAGGCATGAGAATTAGGCCTTGGGAGGAACCCAGGGCCTGGAGATGCTGTGTTTGCACAGTGACGTAGTCGTGCTTCACTGGGTCTTGGCATGGTGTGGGGAGAGGAAAAATGGCCTAGATTAGGAGCCCTGGCTCTCCTGTTCACCTTCTCAGCCTGTGTGATGGGCTGTCCCTCCTGACCCACCAGCCAGGCCTGGGGCTTAGGGGAGATGTCGACACAGAGATACTGGGAAAGGACAGAGTGTATGCCCCCCTGCTAGATGATGGTATGAGTGGGTCCATCAGACCAAAATGCAAAGGACAAAGCAGAGCCGGGGACCCAGCGCTTGGCAATCTTTTCACTATGGCTGTGGCTAACAAAAGGACCCATGTGTGACAAAAAGCTGACAGATGGAAGCTTTTACTCAGTAGACTTAAAAAAAAAAAAAGGTTTACTGGTACAAAGACTAGACCAGAGAAGCATGGGCACAAGAGAGATGGGCTCAGCAGGGCTGGCCCGTGGGGCTAAGAAGGGAAGAAGGGCCCATTCCTGATATCCTAGGGCCCAGCAGATTCATTGGCTAACCCATGATAGCATAGACAGTAACTGCAGGGGTATGGCTCGTTAGTCTTCAGGGATTCAGGACAGGTGCTTGCCAGCAGGCATATTCACATATTTCTTCCAGGCCACATGTATTTGGTGCAGTGGCTACAGGTGGCCATAATCAGGCACCCCTAGTGCAGGGCTTACACTACAAGGCTGGCTTGGAAAGCCAGTACATGTCCCAAGATATCTGAAAGGACCCTCCAGAAAGGAGACCTTAGCTAAACCTTCTGTCCACACACTAGAGGGGCCCACGACGCTCTAAGGACTCAGGAAAGGCAGCGGAGTGAGTCAACAAGGCAGACCCAGGAGAGCCTCGCTTGCGTTCCAGTTTTTCCAGTAAGAAAGCGGAATGAAGAGGATCAACGTACTCTCTTAGTTGAGTTTATGACATACTCTTGCATTTATTAAATACCTATTGTGTTCGTGGCTCTGAGCCAGGCACTAGAGTACCCGGCCTTCATATTCGCCCACTTTACCCTTGTTACATAACCGCCATTATATACATGTGGAACCACGTATCTGGAGGGAGGGAGGGCTGGCATATGAGAATTTCACAGGAGGGGGACAGAGCAGGGAAAGGCCCACATGTCACCTGTGTGCACTGTTTCATGTGTATGTGCACATTCCTGGCAGTCTCTGTGTTTTCTCATGTCCATGTGTAAACGTGTTCATGAGTAGGCATGCATGCCTGTGGGAGTGTTATGTGCATTCCTGGGTGCAAACGTGTGAACATCTTGGCCATGCATTCGTCCATATGTGTGCATGTGTTCATTTCTGCGCATGTGCATGGATTTAAATATGCAGGGATGCATATATCTGCTCGTATGTGTACACTTCTGTTTTCCTGTTTGCCTGTGTTGGGGTTTTTGCATGTGAGCCTACTTTTATGTATGTGACATATATTTTCATATGCTTGCGAGGCTGTCAACACATGCGTGGCTGTCTGAATGAGTCTCACTGGGGGCATTACAAGGCCACGTGGAAGGTAGCAATGGTGAGCAATGGTGAGCCAGGCTGACCAGGTCTAGGGGCCTTACGGGTGGGAGGCCAGCGATCACTAGCTCCTGAGAGCTAGAGGAGGCTGAGTCAAGCACACTGCCTTCTTCCTGGGCCTGTGATTTCAAAAGCAACACTCTGTGGTCTGCCTCTGTTGTCAAGAGGACGCTGGGGTTTCAGGCTCCTGGGACACAACCCCCATCCAGTGTGTGTGTGTGCGGTGGTCTGGCTGCCTCCTCCCACCCCACCCCCAGCGGTATAAAACAATTTCCTTGGCCTGTCCAGGAAGGCAGATGACCTCACTGGACTCCTTCCATCTCTCGCTTTCATAGAGAAATTACAGTTTATAATTGGATGAAATCACGCGGGTGGTAATAGCAATAATGGCTTAGGCTGCAGCTACCACTGGCCCCTCTGCAGGCATAAGCTTATCTTCCCTCCTGCCTAACTTCACTTTGCGCCTGCCCGGGACTGTGCCACCTGCCTCCTGGCACCCGAAGCCCTGGCTGGCCCTAGCCTTTCTGAGTTCCTGTCTGGCCTCCTGGGAAAGTCTCCTGAGGGTGCCCTTTACCCCGTCATTCCTTCACACACTGGCCACATGCTCTATTCTTCCCATGTGCTCCCTGTGGCTCCTGGGGGCTGCAGCGTGGACAGCCACCTCTGCTCGGCACATGGGCTTATTAAATATGCACCCCAGATGTGCCAGCTGCAGGCACTCATCAGGCCTTGAACCAGCCCTTTTGGTCCTAACCAGAGCCTGTGCTCTCAGATATGCCATTAAGACTCCATTCCAAAGAGGGGAGTCTTCAGGGGAATGGAGATTCCAGAGTTGGGCCTTCTTGGCTGGCTGCTAATGAGAGGGAGGGGACAGCTTTGTTTTTGTTTTGTATTCCTAGGGGCAGACTGCAGTACCCCAGGTCTCTACAGAAGGAAGGGCAGCAGGGTGTGGAAATCTGGCCCTGTGAGAGAGAGACAGCTCAAGGAGGGAGGTCAGGAACACTGGAGACCCCCCTTTATAGGCTCCTGGTGAGCCAGAGGAGCTGAACTTGTTCTTGAAGCCAAGACCAGGATAGCCCAGTTGAAACCTCAAATGACATGTAGTAAGAAGAGCAGGTGCTGAGGAAATGGGGGCTTTGTAAGGCCAGGAGCTCCCCAAACTTTTTTTAAAAAATTATTACACTTAATTTATTTACTTTGTGTGTGGTCAGAGGACAACTTGTGAGTCAGTTCTTGCCTTCTGGGTTCCCTTGGATGTCACTTGGGTCTTCCGGCTTGATGCTAGCTAGGTGTCATTACCCACTAAGCCATCTTGCCGAGCCCCCAAACTTCATTTCTCTCTGCCCAATCCTTTCAGGTGGTTACAGGAAAGGGTTCTGTTCGTTACCTGCTACCTGGATCTAAAAAGTGACAGGTGGTGGAGACGATAATCTCAGACCCTTGCCAGGCTTGAAGGGAAGTCGTATTTGTTCAAGAATATGGATCTGGGGATGTGGCTCAGCAGCAAAGTGCTTGCCTGGCATGCCAAGCCCTGCGTTTGATCTCCAGCACTGCAAGCCAAAACCAGACCTGGGGATCTGTGTGAGTTTGTGGTCAGCCTGGTCTACACTTCAGACTAGCCAGGGATACACAGTAAGACCCTGTCCCAAAACAAAACCAAACAAACCAGAGACTGGGAAGGGGTGAGAACAATGGGGCTGAGGCCATGGCTGCCTGTGGTACTTGTCCTTGTGGCTCTTGACTTCCTTAGGTTTGATCGCTTGTGTTGCCTTTGGCAGGTGAAGAAGCAGGGAGTAGGTGAAGGCTCCACTCTGGACAGCTGAGCCAGGGGCTGAAACAGGAAGAACCCACCCCTCCACCTCACCCACCCCCAGAAGCTTCTCTACAAACAGGAGCAGCCAAGCAGACAAGCCCCCATCCCGAAGTGGGGCACACAAGCCTGACAGCTCAGCAGTGCGAGGCGAGGTGGCTGCAGCCTGCGGTAAACATCTGAACTCCTTAGAGGGGTAACAGACCCCCCCACACACACACACACAGAGGCAGCCTGAGTGGCAGGAATACTGATTCTTTGGAGAGTGGCTCCCTCTCAGCTCTGTCACGCAAGAGTGCTCTCTGCACTGAGCCATTCTGCCAAGTGACTTAAAGGGATTAAAAGAAAAAACTCGCTAAAGAAAAAAAGGGGTAACAGCCCCCCCACCCACAGAGGCGTTTCAGAAGAGGTACAGCCTGTGGACAAAGGACCAAAGTTACAAAGAGCTGTGGTGGAAGTGATGGCCAGTGAGAGGTCACACTCCCCGGGGACTGACGCTGGGCTGTAGGGCATGCCCAGCTCAGGAGTCCCCGGGGGTGCCCTGTGCACCCAGAGCATACACCCCTCACTCCAGAGAGCCAAGCCATCTGTTCCTGTGGCCTAGAGTGCCAAAGATGCAGCTTGGGACCTGCAGCCATATCTGAGGCCTGGCCGCAAGGAAGACTTCAAGACCTCCTTACTCTCTGTGTGCCTCAGTGCTCCCCCTGCACTGGGCTGCGGTCTGTGGTCGAGTGGTTCTGAGCCTGCAGGTGACATGGGACCAGGGATGTGAGGCCTGGAGCTTCTAAAGCAGTGACCAGTGAGACCCAGTGGCTCTGGGAGCAGCTACAGAGGAGGTAAGAGCATGGGCTAAGGGAGATGAAAAAGGGTTCCTGGTGGCCCAGAAAGGGGACAAGAATCTTCTACCACTTGGAGAGAGCACAGTGCGTGAGAGGGACAACTGAGTCTTGTCCTTTGGAGGCCCCAGACAGGAGGCTTCTGCTTGCTGGGGTAGGGATCATCTAGAGATCTCTGCCAGGCGTAAGAGAGGCCACTTGGGAGTGAGCCACATCGGGGAGGATTTTCTCCTTCTGGGCCTTTCCCTGCTAGGGCTGATGGCCACCTGCTCTGTACAAAGGGGACAGACAACAGTGATGGGTTAGGCAAGAGCTTAGGGGACCAAGGTCATTGGCCTTGATACCTGCTACCCTTGAACTAGCAAGATCCCTTCCATCCACACCTGTCCTGCTCTGGCCAGAGAGATCCAGGGTGGGGCTGATCAGGAGCCATGCCTGGCATCATCTATCCTGACCTGCAGTACAGCCCTTTTGTTGGTTAGAGGGGACAGATAGGCTCAGAGTGGCGGAGTGAGTGTCCCAAGGCTACACAGCAGGTAGCTGGCCAGGCTTGCTCCTCCTGGACTCCCCAAGGGTGAAGAGGGGAGGGGCGGTATTTCTGCAAACAGTAATCCTGGCAACCTCAGAACCCCTCAGAGCCCTAGGCAGGGCAGGGAAGTCCCAATTCATTACCAAGATGGAAAATGACACTTCCCCACGCTCTGCCCCAAGAGAGGGGCTGATTTATGACTGCACCAGGGCCTGGGACATCCGTCAGAGCTGCGCGCTGTGCACGCCGTCTGCGGGGGCATTAATAGCCGTGTTATTAGCCACTGGCGTGAAGGAGGCCCTGCGGATGGGCTATTTGCTGTTATTTATTATAAAGGCACGACAACCTCGCAGCAGGGCCGCAAGCACACAGCGGGGGCCCCCGCCTTCCTATGGTCCCCTTCTCTGCATCTTCAACTTCTTCCCAGCCCCTAGGAGGAGCTAGGGGATAATTCCTGGGGCCAGGCTAAGCCAGAGGGGAGCAGCAAGCACCTCCTGAAAATCCTGTTGCTCAAAGTGCTGATGGGAAATCTGCTGGGCAGTCTCAGTGCAGCCTTGCACCTAGAGGCAGAGACACAAAAAGCAACACACTGGGCTTTGGGGACAGGTACCTGAGATGGGCCTGGGGGTTCTGGCTGATGTAAACTAGGGCCAGTTCCCTCCTTGAATGTGCCCTTCTGTACACATGGGCCAGCTGAAAAGAGAGAAGGCCAGCTATTCCTAGGAGACCCCCCCGCCTGGACCCTTGAGAAGAGTCCACAAACTGGTGGCTGGCAAGAGATGTTGGTGAGCTGGGGCATGTCCCATCACCTGCTGGTACAACCCTGTGGGGAAGGATTTGAGTGTTCAGCCCCAGGAGGGACTGCTGGAAGGCTCTGCCACTGAGCCTGTTCCCCGACATCTATAAAAGGCAGATAGACGGGCTTTGAATCCCCTTCTTCCCGCTCCCAGGGTTCTGTTGGTTTTCCACTTTTGCATGCTTTCATCCAGGCCTTCTCCAGAGCAGCTGGATTTGGGCAGTGAGTCTGAGGCCTGGGTGGGTAGACAGTTCTTCATGGTCCAGACAGAACTTTGACTCTCAGCACTGTTACAGCGAGCACAGCCAGATCATCATGGCCTCAGGAGTGGTGCTGATGGGAAAGTCTCACCTCCATCTTTCCTCCAACTGCCTAGTTCTGGGCTTTAGATTATAGAGCCTGCCTCATTTATTCAAAACTTGTGGGCTAGGGAGATGGCACCATCAGTGAAGGGCCTTGTACAACACCCTGGGTTTAGATGCCCAGTGCCCGCATAAAAGCCAGGCGCAGTGGTGCATGTGTGTAACCCTGTCACTGGGGTTGGGGGCGGAAACAGGTGGATCTCTGAAGATCCCTGGCCAGCCAGTCTAGCCAATTGGTGAGCTCTGAATTCTGTGAGAGACCCGTCTCAAAAGATAAGGTGGAGGGAGAGCAACAGAGAAATACATCCCATGACAACCTGTGGCCCTCGCATATACACAGACACAAAATATGTTTACAGAGCCCCTCTGGGCCAGGCTTATTTCTGGGTACAGGATAGACCACACCTTAAAAGCAGGAGTGTAGGTCTAGTTCCCAGAACCAGACACTTAATGGGTGTCCAGGAAACGGGAGATCAGAAAAAGAAATCCTCATTTAGAGCAGGGCTGCTTCTGAGAGCTCCAGTCTCCATGCCTGCCTGGAATCCATTCTGATCAGCCCTTCCCACACACCTGCGCCTCTCTTCCAGGCTCCTACAGGTTACCAAGGAGCTCAGCAGCAAAGACCCTGGGCCCAGCCCTAGTCTTGAGGACTGTCACTTGCCCAGCTGGCACTGTCCCTTCTCTTCCTTGTCCCTCCCCCTGGCATTACATACATTTCTTTTTTTTTTTTTTTTTTTTTTCTCCCCAAAGGAACTAAGTCTCAGTGGAGGCGGTTTTGCTCCAAAGGGACCCAGGCGGCAGTATCAGGTGGAGGACCATTTCATTAAGAGATGCTGAGAGAGAAAGAAACAAAATTACATGTGTCTCCTTTCATCTCCCTCCCCCTTCCTGGCCCTGCATAGTTTAATATCGAACACTGCTATCAATATAATTAACCTCCTAAGACACAATTTGAAAGTCTTGTTTCTTAAAGCGATTCACTTTCTCTGAAGCCAAGGAGGACATCCTGCTGCCCAGCCCCACCCAGCGGCCCACGCGCTTAGGTGAACTCGCAGTTCATTTCTGGTGGATTTGCATACCTGTCTGCAATTACTGCCGGCGATAACGGCTGATACATAATGCATGCGGCATGAAATTAGAAAAATAATTAACTTTAAATTTGAAAAGAATCCCCGCCCCCGACTCTCCAGGCATTACAAATGCTGAGTGCTACCACCGGACAAGGCTTGGGGGCTAAGCTGTCTGGGGTGATGGGTGAGTCTGGCTGGTACCCCAGAGCAGCCAAGACTGGGTGCCAGAGAGTCAGGGTGTGCAGGAGGTGCCCCCATGGTATCTGCTAGAACAAGCTTCAAGTCCCTGGGCCTTGTATCTTACTTACATCTGGGCCAGTGAAGAATGAGGCTGACAAAGGAACCTGTCCCTCCTTGTGACCAGGGAGTGCTCAGTGGAGAACCCAAGGAAGTGCACTATGCTTGGTCCCATCTCACAGAAGCCCTGAGACCTGAAGCCACCCTTCTACACAGGCCAAGACTGAGAGAAGGAAAGTCTAGCCTTCTTAGGAGAGGGGTTACCTGGGAGGTCTCCTCTTTGAGTCTTGCTTGCAGCTGAGCCCCAGAAGTAGCTGCCAGCTACTGGATGAGAACTGAGGGACCCTTCTTTAATTTTTGACAGAGACAGAGGCAGCCCTAGCAGGGTAAGGCAGGGTAAGTGCCAAACACTGCACCCTGTGGGCTGAGCCCCTATCAGCCTTCTCCCTGGTGGGGCCCAGTGCTGCCTCTAACTTAATCTGCCTCAGCATCAGGCTCAGCCATTTGGAAGGACCTGGGAAGCCTTAAGAGATTTATGAAAGTCACGGTGAATTCCAGGAGAGGAGAGGATATCACCTGAGGCCCTAACTCAGGGATGGAAGAGGAGAAACTGGAAGATTTGGGGTCCACAAGGGAGGGAAGTCTGCATTAGATAGCTTCAGGAAACTTACATTCACATGAGAACACACCTCTGCCCTCTCTACAGGCATGCTGTGGTCACAGGTCACCCTTTTCTAATAGCCCTGCCTGGGAGCCCAACCCCTACCCTAGCAATGTGGGTGGGGAGAAACACAACAAGGCTTGGGTCAGTGGCATTATGGCAGATAGCATTAAGCTCCCTTGCTGGCTTTGGGAAGTGCCTAGGGTGACATCTGTAAATAGAAAATGGCACCACCGAGTTCCATGGCAGACTTAAGGCCTGGGCCACTGTCTCCAGCAAGACCAGGCTGCAGCCACAGGGCCTTTGGCATCAGGAGCACAGCTTGCCCCTCTCCAGATCTGTAGGAATAACCAGAGGAAAGGCTGGCTAAGGACATTACAGGACAGGCACCCTGAGCCCAGCTTTCAATATGAGAAGTACACTTGGGGATACAGGGCAGAATGGGATGGTCTCTCCTCAGGGTCCAGCTGGGCCTTTTTCCCGGAGACATAGGGTTCTCAGCAGCACATAGCAGAGAAAAAGAGATCCAGGGCATGGGTGAGGCTAGGAAGGCCATGGAGCCTCTGGCCCTTTCTACGTGTTCTTACTCCTTGGGGCTGGGGACCATCCTGGTCATCCTTCTAACGGGAGCTGAGACCATGCCTGATACCTAGCATCAGGGAGCTACTCACCCCCTCCAGGGACCTGTCTTCATTAACAAACAAAAAGAGGAGTGGGGCTAGGAGGCAGGGGTGGTCTGCCCAGTCTTCCATCTCCTCCCAGCCTGGCTTCCTTTGGGAATGTGCCTGGCCCAGTTCAGCCCCCTCAAAGGCCATGAAGTAGGTGCCATCCCCTATCATATACTCATGCCAGGCTTTGGGTCTGTAGCTGCCCCTTGCAAGACTGGAGGGACGCATCCAGGCAGGGCACTAGAAGGCCACAGGAGGACAGCTAGGAGTTGAATCTCCCCATCTGGCAGTCTGTTAGAGATATTGCTCAGCTGCCTTTGCCAGGTAGAGTGGAAGCAGATTTGGATTCTGGAGGATCAGGGTCAGAGAAAGCTTCCAGGAGGAGGCAGGAGAGCTGAGGCCTGAGGGCAGAGTGCATGCTGGCCTATGAGGTTGAAGGCAAAATCATAGTGCAGTCACAGTGGCAGGGACAGCATGTGCCAAGGCCCTGTGGAAGTGAGATGGTGTGCGCAGCATGTCAGAAGCTAAGGGCCCTGAGAGTTTGAAAGCTGAGTTACAGCCAGGCACGGAGGGGCACACCTTCAATCCCAGCACTAGGGAGGCAGAGGCAGGCAGATCTCTGTCTACAAAGTGAGTCCAGGACAACCAGGGCTTGTTACACAGGGAAACCCTGTCTTGAAAAAACAAAACAACAAGAAAAAGAGAGAGAGAGAGAGAGAGAGAGAGAGAGAGAAAGAAAGAGAGAAAGAAAGAAAGAAAGAAAGAAAGAAAGAAAGAAAGAAAGAAAGAAAGAAAGAAAGAAAGAAAGAAAAGAAAGAAAGAAAGCTGAGTTGTAGCCCCACCCTTTCTCCCTTATTTCTCCATGGCTGAAAGCAAGTGCACGTGCAGGAGACACAGTGGCACAAAAGGGCATGAAGAAGAGGCACAGAAGGACAGTTAACACAGAGGCTATGCCTGTGTATAGGAGGAAGCGGGTAGCCATGGACACAGAGGCTGCACTTAGGAAGGGCATTCTGCATGTGGGGTACGTGATCCTATCATATTACCTTAAATCCTCACATAAGAGCAGCTGTCAACCACATACACAAACAAGGAGGCTGGAGCCCAGAGGAGGCGTACAGCCTGCTTGGATCACACTGCCTGGAAGTGGTGTGCGCAGGGCTTGAGCCCACTGCACTCTTATCCTGGCCATTGGCAAAAGCCAGTAACTGCTCCCAGCCCCTGTCCCCTACCTCCCTCAAGCTAATGGAGACCACTAGCCTGAACCGTTTCTCTGTACCCCTCCAGTGGAGTATCAGCATCCTGCTGTCAATCACAGAACTGGCAGGTCGTAACTCATACCACACTTGTCTGTGTGATCCGCACAGTGACGACCAGTGATCCCGTAAAAGATGGGCAATTTACCAGGTTTAATTTGATGGCCACATAAACTACCAAACACAACAAGGGAATGAAAAGGCCACCAAGCATCCAGGCAGTTTAAGGGCTCCTCCAGGGAGGCTGCAGTCTCCCTATCCTGTTTCCAAAGCTGCCATAGGGCTGAGACTGGAGTTGGCCTTGGGGAAGCAAGGTGGCCAGGGACTCTTGGGCAAGATTGATGGGCAGCAGACAAAGGAGTGGAAAGGCCTTGGGTCCCTGCCTCCCACTGCTGCTCCATTATCCATCAAACATCTCTGAGAGGTGCAATTTAGACTCTATTATGATGCGGAGCCTCAGGAGGCTGGGGACTGTGCCCATGAGTTAAGCAGGAGGAGGACAGATGCCCAAGCTAGAGACTGTGGTGGCAGCCTTGGCTTTAGCCTTAACAAGTCTGGCCCTACTCAGGGCACTGGCCCAGAACAGCTAAGGGCAGAGGCTGCCCAAATCCCTTTGATAGTACTCATCAGCTGGCCAGCAGCAGGTATGTCCTCTGGCCAAATTCTGAGGCTCAAGCAGAGATCCACAACCCAGAGACAAAGTGAAACAGCCTAGGAGCAAGCCTAAGCCCTAAGCCCTGTCCCATCCCACTCCTCATCGCTGCTCGAGAGCGACTGTGATGGGCCCTTTAGGCTCCCTTAAGAGGAGACTGGAGTGTAGCTGGAAGCCTGGATGTCAGTGACCTTGGAATGGCAGGGCCCCTCATCTCTCTGAACTTCAGGCCTCAAGCTGTAAAGTAGAACAGCAGGCTGTATACACGACTGCCAGGCACAGGAACACAGTGAGGGTGTGCTGCAGAGATGGCCTGTGAAGGCAGAGGGGTCTGGCTCAACAGGCCAGCCCAGTGCTGGATGTGTACGCTGCCTTCAGCTTTGGATTCCAAGGTGATGAGGGGCAAGAGGATCAGGTCAGGCCTGGGACAGCTTGGGATGCCCCTACCACACACAGAGCAACAGGAGGCTGGAGAGGACAAGAGAGCCCTTAGCTTGAGCCCACGGTAACGCCCAGACTGATTGGCTGGGCCCCAGCTCAGTGGAGTGTGGGAGTTACACTGTGAGATTCTAGGCCTGGGTGCACATCTTGGTTCCACAGCCTCTTGCCAGCAGACCTGTGCCTCAGTTTCTTCAGAATGGGTCAGTATTAATTTCTTTGTAGAAATACTCAATAAGGGCCTGTTGTGCGTCAAGTACTAGGCTAGACCTAATGGGTAAGATACCCCCAAAGTCCAAAAGTAAAGCACACACTAGTTGGTGATAAGTAAGCAAGCACTGAGCAGAGAGAAGGCATGGAGTGTACGGTTTTGGTTTGGGGCAGAGTGTGTCTCTGAGGGTCAGCTATGGGCAGAGGGAAGTGTGTCTTGGGCAGAGGGTGGCTCCAACTGCTTCACAAGGAGAGAACTACAGTAGGAAATGTCACAGTGCCTGGTACCTGGCTTTGACAGCCACCGGGATGGCGGATCGGCTTGGAGTCTGGGTGCCTAGCAGAGGAGGCAGGCTAGGGATTGGGTGAGAGAGCTGAGGGGAGAATAGGGGCCTAGGGAGCTTCATCAGGGACCAGCTTGGTGTCAGGACTTTCTATGAGGACTACCAAGGAAACAAGACCATATCGAACCCCGGGGCCAGGCAGAGAGTGGGGCAGAAGGGCCAGCATGCAGGGAACGCCAAGGCCTGAGGAACTGTGGGGACAAGGGTGAGTGGGTCATGGCCCTGTGAGTCAAGCAGGCTGCATAAGTGGGTGAGTAGGGAGATAGATGGATTGGACAAAGTGATGCGTGGCTGAGGGAATGGACAGGGCAGAGGCCACCTGGGAGACCTAGCAGAGGCAGGAGCATTTGAGCAGGGTCCTGAAGGGTGAGGAGGAAGGAGGTCATTGGATGGCGAAGAACTGCCAGGAACAGAGAGGGACGTAGGGTGAGGGAGAAGGGTTTGGTGTAGTTGAGAAATGGAGACACCTGGTTCCTAGAGCACTCTAGTGAGGTCCACGCTGGTCACTCGGCAGGACCATGCTCCACACTCCAGAGCTGTCCTCCCGGGCCAGGCCCTCGGATCAGGTTTGAGAAGCCATTACATTCTGCCCTGAAAGCCTCCTTGACCCTGAGTTTTACTGCAGACCTTTGCTAACTGTACGAAGACACCTTTTTTTTTTTAACTGAGATTGAAAGATAATTTCTCTTTAATTGATTTTTTACCAGTGAACAGTAAAATAACGAGAAAAGTCTATGCTCCAATTTTTCTATTTGCAAAAACTGAAATTATACCTTGCAGAAAAATTTCCTCAGCGTGCAGTCAACACCTCCCGCCTTTTATTTGTCTCATTTCTTTATATCAAGAAAACTAATGTGTAAGTGCACATATGTGTGTGGTCCCTGAAATTGCTGAAAGTTATTTCCACTAGAGAGAGAGAGACAAGGTATGGGATTGTCCCCCAGAAAACACAGAACACGGGGCCAGGAACCAAATCTGTGGACACCTCATCCTTCTGTGTATGAAACATGGGTGACAAACAGGACATGGTGTTTCACCACCAGGCAGTGAGCGTAGCACTCTCTGCTGCCCACCAGTGACAACGCTGGCTGTTTCTCTCCTGAAGTTTGTGCCGACACGCCTCTTGAGCTGATAGCCTCCCAGAAACAAGCTTTCCTTTCAGTCCATTGCCAGAGTTAGGCCTGTCCCAGTCCTGAGGAAAATGATGGCTCATCCAGGAAATCCACCCTAAATCATCCCACTGCCGGCACCATTTGTGTGACCCTTAAGGGTGGCTAATCGTGAGGCTGTGGGGTCACACTAAATGCCCTTGGTGTTGGCTCCTCTCCAGGACCAGACCCTCCTAATGAGATTCACAGTGAACAGCAGTCATTAAAGCTGCCCTGGCTAGGGAGCTTACCTGTCTCCAGATTGGTATAAAACAGGCCTCCCTTGCAGCCTGGCCTCAGCCCTGCAGGACCCAACATCAATGACTCGCTCCCCAGGCCCTGTCACTGTCTCACATTCAGCACACCTATCTTGTGCTCCTTGCAGGTACTGAGGCTCCAGGTTAGGTGGGTCAGGCCTCCACCAGCCATCCACCATGGTGGTGGCACACCCTACTGCCACCGCTACCACCACACCCGCTGCCACTGTCACAGCCACTGTCGTGATGACCACGGCCACCATGGACCTGCGGGACTGGCTATTCCTCTGCTACGGGCTTATTGCCTTCCTCACAGAGGTCATCGATAGCACCACCTGCCCGTCAGTGTGCCGCTGTGACAACGGCTTCATCTACTGCAACGACCGGGGGCTCACATCCATCCCCTCAGACATTCCTGACGATGCCACCACCCTCTACCTACAGAACAATCAGATCAACAATGCAGGCATCCCCCAGGACCTCAAGACCAAGGTCAAGGTGCAGGTCATATACCTGTATGAGAACGACCTGGATGAATTCCCCATCAACCTTCCCCGATCGCTGCGAGAGCTGCATCTACAGGACAACAACGTGCGCGCCATCGCCAGGGACTCCTTGGCCCGCATCCCGCTGCTGGAGAAGCTGCACCTCGATGACAACTCCGTGTCCACCGTGAGCATCGAGGAGGACGCCTTCGCTGACAGCAGACGGCTCAAGCTTCTCTTCCTGAGCAGGAACCACCTGAGCAGCATCCCCTCGGGGCTGCCCCACACGCTGGAGGAGCTGCGGCTGGACGACAACCGCATCTCCACCATCCCGCTGCATGCCTTCAAGGGCCTCAGCAGCCTGCGGCGCCTGGTTCTGGACGGCAACCTGCTGGCCAACCAGCGCATCGCCGATGACACCTTCAGCCGCCTGCAGAACCTCACAGAGCTGTCGCTGGTGCGCAACTCGCTGGCCGCCCCACCCCTCAATCTGCCCAGTGCCCACCTGCAGAAGCTCTACCTGCAGGACAACGCCATCAGCCACATCCCCTACAACACGCTGGCCAAGATGCGGGAGCTGGAGCGCTTGGACCTGTCCAACAACAACCTTACCACGCTGCCTCGAGGCCTGTTTGATGACCTGGGGAACCTGGCACAGCTGCTCCTCAGGAACAACCCCTGGTTCTGCGGCTGTAACCTCATGTGGCTGCGGGACTGGGTGAAGGCACGGGCCTCGGTGGTCAATGTGCGGGGCCTCATGTGCCAGGGCCCGGAGAAGGTCCGGGGCATGGCCATCAAAGATATCACCAGCGAGATGGATGAGTGTTTTGAGGCAGGGTCACAGGGCAGTGCAGCTAATGCGGCTGCCAAGACCACAGCCAGCAACCATGCCTCTGCCACCACACCCCAGGGCTCTCTGTTTACTCTCAAGGCCAAGAGGCCAGGACTGCGCCTCCCTGACTCCAACATTGACTACCCCATGTCCACTGGTGATGGTGCCAAGACCCTGGCCATCCAGGTGAAGCCACTGACAGCAGACTCTATCCGAATCACATGGAAGGCCATGCTACCTGCCTCCTCTTTCCGGCTCAGTTGGCTGCGTCTGGGCCACAGCCCGGCTGTGGGCTCCATCACAGAGACCCTGGTGCAGGGGGACAAGACGGAGTACTTGCTGACGGCCCTGGAGCCCAAGTCCACCTACATCATCTGTATGGTCACCATGGAGACTGGCAACACCTATGTGGCTGATGAGACACCTGTGTGTGCCAAGGCAGAGACTGCTGACAGCTACGGCCCTACCACTACCCTCAATCAGGAACAGAACGCTGGCCCTATGGCTGGGCTGCCCCTGGCTGGCATTATTGGTGGTGCCGTGGCTCTTGTGTTTCTCTTCCTGGTCCTGGGAGCCATTTGTTGGTATGTGCACCGGGCTGGTGAGCTGCTGACCCGAGACAGGGTCTACAACAGGGGCAGCAGAAAGAAGGATGACTACATGGAGTCGGGGACCAAGAAGGATAACTCCATCCTAGAAATCCGAGGCCCAGGACTGCAGATGCTACCCATCAACCCATACCGCTCCAAAGAGGACTACGTGGTGCACACCATATTTCCCTCCAACGGCAGCGGCCTCTGCAAGGGCGCCCACACGATCGGCTACGGCACCACACGGGGCTACCGGGACGCTGGCATCCCCGACGTGGACTACTCCTACACATGAAGCCAGCCACCCCCAGTGTGGTCACATGGCCCTGTTTAGCCCACTGCAACACCAGGAGCCAGGAAGAGAAACTCCACAGTGACTTTCCTAGCAGAAAGCAAAGTTTAGGGAGGGTATACAACAGTGGGGTAAAAAAAAAAAAAAAATAATAATAATAATAATAATAAGTACATAGAAGACAGGAGGGGGATTCAACATTGTTGGAAATGTAATTGATACCAGATCATGAGAGTTAAGAACTAAAAATAATCTTGCAGGAAGGGTTGGGTTGGAACTTTTTTTCCTGAACCAGATTGATACTACCTGTACAACATTTATATACACCTCGAGCTTCATTCAGGCCCATCAGAGAGAAGCAGATAACAAACACACATGGCATGGAGTCCCCATGCAACCATCCTGCTGGCAGCTCACGGTGACAACTCAATGAAAGGTTTTTGGGTTCCTCACAAAAGAGCCAAGAGAAGAAAAGACTTTTTGCTACGGAGACAGTGTCCTGAAATCTCTTCCCTGGTTCTTTCCATGCTGTTTCCTTTCCAGATCTGCAGAAATATGACGTTCTTTGAGGTATTCTCTGAACAATACCATAGGCAATTAAAAGAAAAAAAAAAAAGTCAAAACTTTTTCTTCCAATGTCGAGCACTTCGGCCCCATTCACCGAACTCTGTAGAAGCTCTGACGAAGGCTGTAGCTTTCCCCGCCACGTGGAGGCGCGTCTGTGTGCCACCTGTCGCTGTGTCCCGTGTCTCGGGACAGATGGGTAGACAGGGCTCCGTGTCTGTCCTCTCGGCACTTCTTCAGTCAGTCCTTGACATTCCCTCCGGCAACAGAACTGAAAAATCTTGCTTTCTTCTAGAAAGCATTAAGTAGATCATGTGTGGGTGGAGAGGAGGAGCCTCAGCCCAGGTGGCAGGAGGGCTCAGCCCAGGTGGCACGAGGGCTCAGTCCAGGTGGCACGAGGGGCTCAGTCCAGGTGGCAGGAGGGCTCAGTCCAGGTGGCACGAGGGGCTCAGTCCAGGTGGCAGGAGGGCTCAGTCCAGGTGGCACGAGGGCTCAGTCCAGGTGGAGGGTATTACTGTTTCTTAGAGGCACTGGTAACTGCATCCCAGCAGGGAGTTAAGAAGCTGGCTGAGGATGCTTTAGATTCCGTCCTGTCCTGTCAGCCGGCCCAGAGACAGGCCACTCTACTTAGTGATATGTAAAAAAGCTTTCCTTGATGACCACCGGCCTCATCTGTCCCTCCCTCAATAGATGCTATCCCCATGATAGTGTTTATGTTTTCTCCTGGGACAGGTAATCAGTGCAGCGACTGCTCATGAATATATGTGTGGACACACACACATCTAGACCGCTGGCTAGACCTATTGGTTTCCATGGCTGCTCAAACAAAGCCCAGAAAAAAGAAAAAAAATTTCAGAAAATCCCTGGGAGACATCAAAACACACACACACACACACACACACACACACACACACACACACACACACCTCAGCCATTGCCTACACCAGGGGCTCTGTTCTCAAGAGGGAAAATCAGATTTCTTTGCAAAAAAAACCATCAACCTCCAAAAGGGTACTGACCGGGGCCCTCGGAAGAGCTAAGATTTTATTCCCTCCCTGTGGAATCAATGTCGTTATCATTTATCAACTGACACCACAGTGTGGTGAGCCATGAGATTAAAACGATGATAAAATAATGACAGCAAATCAGGAAAGGAGGGAAGAGCCGAGCCTAGGGTTCTGATGTCTGCTTCGTCCGCACCCGGGGAGCCCGGGTCACCATCTGTCAATGCATCGCTTTGCCCTGCACTGGGAAAAAAAAGTCATCAAAGGAGAGACGCTGGTCTGAGGGCAGCCAGATGAGAAGGGGGTCCAGCTCCTGATAGTGGTGTTTTCAAAAGACCTCTGCCACTTGGTCCAAAGCAAAGGCAGGAAGAAGAGGCCAGGCGGCTGCCTGAAGTGCTCCTGGTGGGGCATCCGCTCGCTGGATGTTAAAGAGCCAACTAGCCCTTCAATGAAGAGATGAGATTGAAAGAAATGGACCCAGCAGGTGTCTCAGAGTAGTGGAAAGAGGCACAGGCTCCTGATCATAGCCCAAAGGGTCATCACACCAAACAGAAACCCCCAACCCACCAGCCCCAGGGAATGGCCAAGGGGTATGGACATGGATCATTCTATGGACCTTTCTTCCTCTTCATCCCAAATCATTTCCTCACATAATGAGGTCAAGAGAGAAATGTTCCTGAGCCGCAGATTCAGGTCTGTATAAACATGCGCCCCGGAGCCCTGCTGTTCCCAGTGACCCCAACGGCACCCTGGTCCTGATGGCTAAGGCAGGCTCAGAGGACACCTGCCTGTGAGGAACAGGTATGTGAGGGAGAGTCCCAGATGCTGAACAAGGCATCAAGGGCACTATGCCATCCTTCTCCAGGGTCCCCGGAAAGTAAAGCCCTAAGTCCCCAACCCCTACTTGGCACTTGTAACTTGCCCTGCCCCCTAGGCTCACTCATGTCCCCCTTCCCTGTTCCCTACCCCAGGAGGAGTCTGTTCACTTTCTTTGATGGCCAGGACAACATTTAGGAACAGCAGGTGGCCTAGACCCTGGGAGCTGCCTGGAGGGCCCTACTTAGACATTCAGGAGCCTGTGGGCCAAATGCCAGGGCTGTGGTAAACTTCTTCCCCCACCACACAGAGCCTTGGCAGAGTGTCACAGCTTAAGGACCAAATCTGCCTCCTGCTCTAAGGGGCTCACTTCCTATCACACCCAGTTGGAGAGCCCAGGGCTGCCATTGCCCCCTAAGGAGCAGTTAGGTGCTAGTGAGGGTGAACGCTGCCTAGCCATGGCCCTGTAGCCCCTCCAAGAGCTCTTCCCATGGCATTTCTGCCTCTTCACATCAAACCATTTTCCCAGTACCCTTTATTCTGTGTGTGTTGGGGAAGGGGGAATACTGGAGATTGAATCATGGGCCTAGCCATGCAAGGCAAACACTACCACTGAGCCGTGTGTGTGTTCCCAGCACCCCACTCCTTAGTGTCCTTTCAGAAAGCCCCCAGTGTGACCTTTGTCCCAGTTCTCCAAAGGAGACGGAGAAGCTGGCTTCTGGCCTCACAATACAATAGAAGAGCCTCTTCTGAGGCGGCTCCTCCACCGGCAGAAGTGAGGGAAGCCGGGATTAACACTGGAAGGCCTGTGGAATCCTCTTTCTGTACAGCTGACATTTCCACAGGGAAGTCTGTGGCCGGCCATCCTGACCCCTCACAGTTTCTAACCAGCCAGAACAACCTCCTTTTGCCCCAGCCCCTGGGGAGTTTATTTTGTGGCATTTAAGGCAAGTTTAAACTAAGGGGAAAAAAAAAAAAAGCCAGTGACACTTCTTTGGTTAAATGGTTTACCCTTCTTGGTAATTAGATGCAGCGATTGGAATCTCTTTTTCTATTACATGGCAATTTTACTTTAAATTTCCTCTTTAAAAAAAAAAAATGGGGAAGAAAAGGCAAGGAAGGAGAGAGGCAGCAGGGCCACGGGCATTTGCATTTTGCGAATGAAGCCTCTGGTAGGCTCAGCTCAGGCGTGCGGCCCAACGTATGGAATGCTTAAGAGATTACTAAGAATAAAATCTATTAATTAGTCATACTCAATTCCGCAGACATGACGTGAATCAAAAGCTCCCGCTCTTCCCTCATCTGCATCCTCTTCCTGAGGAAGCCTCCATCTTCCCTGAAAGGCTGCCTCCTGGCCTGCCTCCTCCATATGTGGAGCTCTGCTGTGGCCCTGTGTGGGGGATACTGGCTTGGAGAACCAGTGCTGGGACACTGGCCCTTCCTCACCCTGGGCATTGCTGGCAGGGGAGGGGACAGCCTTGGGAAGGCAACTGTGGCTAGAAGGAGTCCAGCCTTCCCTTCCTGGAGCCAGAAGCCCACCCCTACCCCATGCCTCCATGCCTCTTCTTTCTTCTCAGTGGGCAGAATTTACAGAAGACCAGCTGCCCAGCTCAGCCCCTGCAAGGGAGCCAGGTGTGTGTTATGCAAATGTGAGGCTCCCGTCTCTGAAGTGGGGATGACTGGGGCAGATTCTTGCTTCATGAAGGCCCTGTGAGATCAACCCCTTCATGCTGAGCCTGGAAGGTTCTAATGGGCTGAAGACAGTGGGGGAACCACTTCTGGGTAGGAAGAGCCAGTGTGGACTCTGGGTCCACAGAAGGGATGGGCAGTGTATCTGGAGTAGCCTCTCAGCCTGAGCTTCCTCCTTCGCTGCCACTGGCAAGAAGGGTAAGGAACAAAAGTCAGAGCCATACTTAGGACCCTTCCCACCCAACCCCCGACAAGTCAGTTCGAGTCCCGAAGCCAGCCCACTTCAGACATCTGCTTTCCCCTGAACACACCGGGGAGAGGAGGCCAGGCTTCAGAGTCTCTGGCTTATGAAAAATACAACAAGGAAAATTGAATGCAGCAGCCAGAGAGCTATGCAGAAGCAGCAGGGACAGGCTCGAGTGGGCATGGCAGCCTGTGTCCCCCAAGGGCCAGATGACATGTCACAGCCAGGGTCAGAGCTGCAGGCCTCCCATGAGCCACGTTCCCTGCTCACACAGACAGTGGCGCAGGTGACAGCAGCTGATGCTGAGGCTGGGTGGGTGCCAGAATGAGCACTAACAAGCAATTCACAAGCTTTCCAGAGAGCAGAGAGAAGAGACTTTTTTTTTTTTTTTTTTTTTTTTTTTTGGTAAGGAGGATAAAAAGGCTCAAAAATGCAAATCATTAACGTTTACAACCAAGCGAGTCTGCTAAATTGATTAGAAGAGATTAAACTCCTTGGAGGTGAAGGGAAAGGGGGATTTTTTGTGTGGGTTATGAACCTGCCCCAAGTGGTCGCCCACACAGCAGGCATGTTCCGGGCCTGGATGGGAGGGGTAGCAGCTGTTCCTGCCCAGCTCCCCAAGGAGCTGGCATCGCTAAGTGCTGCTCGGATTGAATAGCTCTCACCAGGGCCATGGGGGCAGGAAGGGTCACTGTTGTTCGGACAGCAGCTGTGCCAGTCCCTGGGCAGACTCTGATCCTGTCATCTAGGGGTCAATTTGCCTTGAGAGATGGCAAGCCACATCTGGATCAGAGGAAGCAGCCTGTGCCATCACTTAGAGAATAAGACTCATGAGACTCCTGCATCCTTCTGCTGGGGACCTGCTGCTGTCTGGGGCCAGAGAACAAGTGAGGCCATCTGTGAAGAGAAAACTGAAGGTCGGGGAGAGAAAAGCTCAGGCCAGCAAAGGAAGCAGCCGGTAAACTCTGTGTCCCATGAAGCTTCCAAGCATTATCCCAGGATGTGACTGACAGCTCTCCAGCCTGAGCTAAGGTCTTTGTCTAGAAAATTCTGGTCCCCATGTTTGCTTTACCACAATCCCCAGGACAAGGATGTGCAAAGACATCCCTCTCCAGCCTGTGCTCAGCAGGTAGTGAGGCGGTGCTGACAGGATACATGCTGGGCTCAGCGCTCCAAGCCCCAGGATGTCCCTGGACTTGTTCCCTCAAGCCCAGCTGCCTCAAACCCAGGAGTAAGCAAAGGTCTGTCCATCACAGCCAGCTGACAGTGCCTGGGGCTCTGTTCGAACACTCACCATTTTTTAGGCATTTACCGATTCTCTTGAAGTGTTCCAACTATTTGTATGAAACATCCACATTGGCTTCTTTTAAAACAACTGACAAAAACGTTCCCTTTCTCTCTTGACACTTTTCAATTTTTTTCTTTTTCTCTACCCCATTCTCACCCCTGACATTTTGAATCTGACACTGGACTTCTGATCCTCTGATGCTACCTCCTTTGAATTTTATTTTTTTTTTTTTTTTTTTTTTTTTTTTTTTGAGACAGGGGCTCACATAGCCCAGGTTGGCCTCGAACCCTTTATGTAGCTAAGAATGACAATGAATTTCTGATCCTCCTGTCTCTACCTCTTTCAGATTTTAATGTATTTTTTCCCCCTGATTTTGGGGCTTTCATTCCTGGGGCCACTCCTGCTTTCTCATTATAAGGGGGCTTGCCACCCAGGGTAGGGGTACCAGCTGTCTTCATGTCTGCCCTGACCTGTATCCAGGCAGGTCTCCAGCCTGGAGCTGCTCCTGCTTCCGGAAGCCACCCTTGGCTCTCTGAAGCCACTGTCCCTATTCCTTGTTGCTGAGTTGTCCGGCTTGTGCTAAGGGGAAAATGTGGGTATGTGGTGGGCAGAGTGCCTGGTGGGTCAGCCCCTGCTTTGTACAGCCCCACTCCCCAGACACTGCAGCCGTAACAGTCACGGCACCGGCAGCTTGGCGTCCCTGCCCACCTACCTGGGGTCACTGAGGACCAGCAGGGGACCTGGAACACCCCTTACCACCTTCTCTTCTCAGCTGGCATCTGTCCACTCATGGGAACGACCTGAGGATTGGCAGTGCGGGGCTTTCTCCTGTCCTGCACCTGGCTAGTGGCCTGATGAGAAGAGGGGCTCACCTAGGCCACCCCTCCGACAAGCATCCCACCCCCTGCTTTGCTTCAGGATTGGTGTATTTCCAGCAGATAGGAAATGAAGATTCATCGAGATCTGGCAGCACCACAAGCTTGAATGGGTGACTCGGTTTCCCTTCTCTAAGATTTGCATCAGGTGGGTGATGCGGATTGGCAGAAAACTAGAGAGACCCTGGGGGTGGTACAAGAAACAAGATCCAAGGCAACAGCCTGCCTTGCCTGACACCCCTGCGGAGTCCCCGCACCCCAGCCACCCGCCTGGAGGAACTAATCAGACTTTCTCTTCAAGACAGAAAAACAAGCTCGACATGAACCGACAATCAAAGCCGCAGCAGGCCCCAGGCTGCCACTGCTCATTCCCTCAGGGCTCATGGTTCCAAACAGCTCTCAACCTGCCTTGGATGGAAGGCAAGGTAGCAGGTCCCTCACACCCACCCCTCCTGTGGGCAGTCCCATCTCTGATGGTTCTGGGCACAACGTGGGGAGGCCCTACACACAAAACCCCAAAGTAGCCTTAGGTATTTTCTCAGCCCAGCATGACCACCTGAGAATTGCTTCAACCGAGAAGCCACTTGGGCATCTCGGGTATAGTGTAAGAATGAGGTCCTGGTGTCCTCTAGCCCCTCCAAGGAGGCCTAGGGTTGTGGGGAGGAAACCACAGGCCCAGTACAGGAGGCTTGTCATCTGAGAGAAAAAGGGAGAGGAGATCCTGGAGGCTGGAAGGCACCCAACCAGGCTCTGGAGACCTATGCTTATGCTGGCAAGGGCCACCAGCAGGTGTGAGCAGAGATGCCAAAGGTACAGATCACCTTAAAGGACCCCCATTCCCATGCAAGGACTGCAGAGTGGAGGTTTTGGCAGAGCCATCCTCCTGGTGGCATCCCACTGTGCAAACGGTGCTTGTTGGTATTGCCAAGAAAATGAGAACAGATACTGGGAAGTATAGCTTGGTCCCCAGTTCTGAGGGGGCCCATAGCAAACCTCTGGGGAATGCTAAAGAAGGTAGGATGCCTGCCCAGCCCGTGACAGTGAGGCAGGCCCCTGAACTACCGATTTTCCAAGCCCCTGGCCTGTTTCAGCTGTAGACTCAGAGCCCTGATGTCCCTTGGCTGCTGTTCCTCTCTCTTTTTCTTTTTCTCTTAAGGGCAGAGCAGTCTCGGGGGTCTGAGTGGTAGGAGCGCCCCTGCGGCAGCGGCTGCTTCTGGGAACTGGCAGGCAGACAAGGCCCTGCTCCCTGGAAGGCCTGGCTGCGCCCAGCCTCATGGTCCACCTGCTTCACTCCGACTCTACCACCAGACAGGGGTTTTTTCGGACACAAACACCCCACCACCACGACAACAACACAAACCAAAGTGCACTCCGAACCGCCCTTTGGCCTCCTTCAATGTAGGTGCCTTGAAACTTCAATGTTGAGATGAATGTGACTAACTACTTGGTCCTATTTTCTGTTTGTCTGTTTCATATAAAATGTCCAAGTCCACCTGCCTTGTCCTTTCTTGAAATAAATAGAAAGATTTAACTTTTACAGTCCTGTCCGCTGCTGACTCTGGGCTCAGCAGCCCAGCCTGCCGGGAGCCAGGTGGCTGGCATGCTCCTCCTGAACAGTCCTGGGCCTTGTTGGGGGTGGGAGGGCACCCTTGTTGGGGGTGGGAGGGTCTACTGGCAGAGGGTAAAGCAGACAGGATAGAGACTGGATTTAACGCATTTCCTGGGCAGAAGCAGACAGGTGTGGTGGTGCACACCTATAGTGCCAGCACTTGGGAAGATCAGAGGTTCAAAGTCACCTGTGGCTACATAGTAAGTTTGAGGACAGCCTGAGCTTCTTGAGACCTTGTTACAGAGAAAAAAGAAAGAAAAGCCAGAACAAAGCTGTTCAGTTACAGAGACTCTCTGCTGTTCTGTGATGAGCAGGAAGGGGCTTGGACCAAGGGAGGCCAGGCGACACCGGAAGCCTCTTAAGCCAACCATGCGGGCAGCCCCGTGCCACGTGCAGAGGGTCTTCACTCACTTGGAGAGTTATTAATAAAAGCTGAGGATTATCCCCTAAGAGGCTCCGGCAGCCATGTGGGCACCCAGATAAGAGCGGAACTGTCCTGGCATTTGGGAATGTGCGCTTGTCCTGCCACCCCAGTGTGCACCCGCTCAAGATGCCCCTGTTCCCTGCACTTGCCCACCAGATTCACAACCCCAGGGGCCTCCCTCGAAGGGGCTCCTTGCACCCTGGGTGAGAGAGAGAGAGAAAAAAAAATTATTTTCATGAGAACAACAGGAATTCCTGCTAAATTTCAGATAAAGCAAGAACTCATTACTCCCCTTAGATCTGCTCTCCCATCTCAGTGGGGGTTAATGAGTTTCCCCTTATATTCCATGGAAGCAGTTATTTCTCCACAAGCCGTGGTGGCTGGTGGCCCCTGCAGAGATGACCTTGGGTACTCTGACCCCACAGCTGTCTCTCCCATCCCCCACCAACCTCCCCTCCCGTCATGCTGGGGGCAGGAGCTAATTAAGAGGGCCATTCTTCGAGGCAGCACTCAAGACAAGCTGCTGGGGGAACTTTCTAGAAAATGAATCGCCAGCCAGTCAGCCAAGAGAAAGTTATTGAGGGCCTACTATGTGTTAGGACTGGGGAATACTAGGGCTAGACTAGTGTTCCTTTCCTAGAAGCAGCGTGGCAAGGATTCTCCGGGAGTGAGGTAGGGGCTGCCCTGACTGGGGCAGGGAGTCCTCTGGGGAGGTAGGTTCTCACTAAGGGTGTTTCTGCAGATAAAGATGGAGAGTTTGGGCTCCATTCACCACCTAAGGCAAGGACAAAAGATAAATTCAGTTCTAGTCTCTTTGGAAGTTTCTTGCCCTGCCCAAGCTGAATCAGCTCCTGGCTACACCTTGGAGAATTCCCTGACAGGTCTTGTCTTGTCTTGAGCCTTCCCATGCGGACTTCAAGGCTCAACTCAGGAGAGGCCCCAACCCAGCCCACAGTCTGGTCTGCTGACAGTACTTGCAGCACAGTGACACTTGCTCAGCTAGGGCACTGACCAACCACAAGCAGCCCCACACAGTGAAAGGTCACCCACCTGCCCTGCTGATCAACAAGGTCATCAAGGAGTATACCTTCCAGCACAGCAGCATCCCAGTGGCCCAGTGATCACAGCTATCTTCTCCACTACCTCCCTCGGGGACAGTCCTGCCCCAAGATCACCTTACCCTCTATACACCTGTGACAGTGCCAAAAAAAAAAAATAATAATAATAATGGAACGTAAAACTCCCCAAGTGAGGGGAGAGGGTTGTGTTCTCAAGCTGTTGGCAGAGCAGCAGCTAACAGAACTGCTTATCACTGAGGGTGAGGACTGGTGTGAAGTAAGAACCAGAATGACATGCAGAGGCAAGTGGGTCTCTGAGTTCAAGGACGGCCTGGACTACAGGGCAGGACTGCACAGAGAAACCCTGTTTCCAAAAAAAAAGGGAGAAAGAGAACGAAAGAAAGAAAAAAAGAAAGTGAGTCAGAATGGCTGCCTTGCAGTCCAGGGCCCCTGTATAATGTTTCCTGCTCCAGTGTTTGGTTGGACTCTAACCTGAAAGTTTCCAACCACTGCATTCTAGAACCTTCCCTTCTCCTGCCCCTTCTTCCTAGGAGGGATACCTGGTCTCACAAAGTGTCCTGGACATGTTGTATCCAAACCTATGAAAGGCCCAACACCCCAAGCCACAGTGCTATAGCCATGTCCTGTAGCAGACTCCTGGCCCCCTATTTAGAGGCCACTCCCCTGTCCATGAAGCAATGTAGGGATTTCTGGTATTGCTGGTCCGCTTTAAGCACTCCAGACAATCTGTGCTCCCCAAAGCACACACCGGCCACCTCCCTGCCCTCTTCCACCCATGTCATCTCGCAGTGCTGACACAGCCAACTCCCCTTGGCCTCTGCGTCCGGACTCTCCAAAGGACCCTCTATTCCTGCAGCAAAGTAAATAGGCTCTCTCCGCGCTAACTGACAGCGCAAATGAAATCTTGCACTCCCCCCTTCAGAGATTTACAGGGGAAGTGAAATCTTATTTGCACCGCTGCCAAGCTGGGGCCGCGATGAAATTATGCCTCGAGAAGAGACCCGGCCGGCTTCTCGCGGAAGCTGCTGCATCAGAGATGGGCTTATTAAAAGCCACGGTGGCCACATTTCAACCTGTTTCAGGTGTTAAGTAATTTACTGCCACCCAGAATTCAGTGACAGGTTTTTATCATTTTTATTTCCGTGATGCGGGCAGACACCCCAGGAGACCCCTGCTTAGTGTTCTTCCTACCTCCCCCACCCTGGCACACCAGTGGGAACTGGGGTGAGGGTAGGGC